TTCAATGAATTAAAATATGTGAAGTGAGAAAAAAAAGCAATACTGCATTCGTCAATAACACTATTATCATTGCTTTTTTTCCTCCTTTTCTCTCTCTCTCTCTCTCCTCCCTCTCTCTCTCTAAGGGTCAACAAAGGTCATCTCAACTGTTTGATAATTGAATGTGATGCATATTCACGTTCCAATGTGTATAAGAAATGGAAAAATTCCACCTAACATTCAACTGAAAAACATACAGTAGCATTAACATTTATCAGATAACAACTGATAAGAATGTATTAAGTGATAAATATAATAATCTTTGTGATAACAGAATATGATAAAATAGTGATAATAGTATTAGTAAAAAAAATGAATGAATTGTCTAGTTTGAAGTTTACCTTTTATATGATGCGACAAGGATTTACCTTTGTATACCTATTGCAATGATGACTATTTCATCATACTACGTGATAGTTTGACGTACACGTTTAATCCTACTTCTATACTGAATTATACTAAGTGAAAAAGTAAGCACACGTTTAATCCTACTTCTGTACTGAATTATACTAAGTGAAAAAGTAAGCACACGTTTAATCCTACTTCTATACTGAATTATACTAAGTGAAAAAGTAAGCACACGTTTAATCCTACTTCTATACTGAATTATACTAAGTGAAAAAGTAAGCACACGTTTAATCCTACTTCTATACTGAATTATACTAAGTGAAAAAGTAAGCACACGTTTAATCCTACTTCTATACTGAATTATACTAAGTGAAAAAGTAAGCACACGTTTAATCCTACTTCTATACTGAATTATACTAAGTGAAAAAGTAAGCACACGTTTAATCCTACTTCTATACTGAATTATACTAAGTGAAAAAGTAAGCACACGTTTAATCCTACTTCTATACTGAATTATACTAAGTGAAAAAGTTGAATATAACAATTAAGCATGAAATGAAGCATTATATAAGTAAGATTAAAATGAAATTAGGATAATTTCAAAATTGATCAGAAATATTTACTTTCATTAAGGAAAGAGAGAGGGAGAGAGAGAGAGAGAGAGAGAGAGAAAAAATAGAAAAAGATAGCATAAACTGATCCGTTGAAATTATTTTGCAAAGAATATATATTGAAGTTATAAAGAGATAATAGATGAAAAGAGAAGAGAGAAAGAAAGAAAGAAAGAAAGAGAGTAAGGAAGGAAGGAAAGAGAGAGAGAGAGAGGGAGAAGAGAGAGAGAGAGAAGAAGGGGTAAGGTTTATATTTCTTGGGTAAATGGTGGGCTACTAACCGAAATCGATTTTATCCCTTTTTGCAATCGAATAGATAGATGGATGGGAAGGATAGGAAAGCAATTGGGTTTGTTTCCTCTTTTACTAAACTTTGAAATATTTATTATTGTCAAGTAAGTATGTATAAATAAATATATGTATTATCTATCAATATATGATATGATGAGTCATATAATTGATATTTTAAAATCATTAACAGTTGTTTGTTAAAGTTCAATATGAAAGTGAAATGAAATACTCATTATTTAAATAGTTAATCGATTGCTTTTCACTTATTTTATTTTTGTTTTTTTTTCTTCTTTTTTAATTTGGATTTATAATAATTGAAATGAGCTCTTTTTTTTTTTATAATAATTTTTATAATTTGTAATAATTGAAATGAGTTAAACGAGGAAAAAAAAATGTATATGTTAATGTGTTAAAGTGAATAAAATTGTTTAAAGTTTTAAATTAATCAGTTTGATTTTTAAATAATTTTTATTTTGGACGTCTAATTTTAATCGAGATTGAAATTAATTAATTTTAAAATATTTGATTTATGATAGAAAAAAGAAAGAAAAACAAAAGAGGAAAGAAAAAGAATTTGGCATAATTAATTGTATGAATGTTAATAAAATGAAAATTACAAAATTTAATTGTTTATTCTGTAAACAAAATTTTTGCAATTATTTGCTGCCTAACAAAAATTGTATTTTGATTAAAAAAGAAAAAGTGGAAGAAAAAAGTTGTCACAGTTAATTTGGATGACCTTTTTGTATTTCAATCAATGGGGTCATTTTATTGTGTGCAATTTAAAATGAATGCATCATTAATTGTAATTGCAATGCTATTTTTAGGTTTAATTTGAATTAAAAAAAAAAAAAAAATGTAAAATACATTTTGCAAACTTATGCAAATACACAACAATATAATTTTAACTCATCCAACCAAAATAATTCTTTTAAAAATATTCAATTCATTTCATAAACATAAATAGAATTAGTTTAAATTTCCAGTTAAAAAAAAAAAATCCTTTTATCATATTTCATTAAAAATTCCAAGTAGCAACATTATAAGTTACAAATTGTTGCTTTCTAAAATGAATTTATTATTCAGAAAGGGTAGAAAGAATAAATATTGCAACAAAATAAATCAAACGAAATTGGAAACGAAATTAATGGGTTGACTTTTAGAATTTAAAAAAAAAAAGGAAAAAAAGGGAAATATTGAGAAAATCGTGATTTTTCGAAATTTGTTTCTTTTTACTTGTCTATTTATTTAATGTAAAATTAATTTATTACTGGTTTTTTTTTTAATAATACTTCAATTTATATTATTCGATATCGAAATAAAAAAAAAAGTTAATTTTTTCCATTAGTATTTTTATTTTAATTAAATTACTAAATGATCAAATTAACAGTTTAATTTAATGAAGCATTCATTACATTATTATTTGTTAACAATAGTAATTATTTTGAAATTTTAGGTCAATTATTTTTCTCAAATAATTTCAGCAATTTAAATGAATTATTAATTATTAAATTTATAAAACTTTTCTTTTTCTTCTTTTTTTTTTTGACATACATTTCATTTTTTTTTCTCTTCAAAAATTCAACAACTAATTAATATCAATTTTAAAATGTTTCTCTTTTTTTTTTTTTTCAATAATTTAGATATTATTTAAGAAGTTATAGTAATATTAATACGATGAAATATAATTCAATGTAATATTTTCCTACAAATGAAATTAACTACTATGTCTATTGAATGTTAATTTAATTTAAAGAAAAGAAAGAAGAAGAAAAAAAAAAAAAAAGAAAAATGAAGAAAATTTGTTTTAAAATATTTTAGCAAAACGAATGGCTTATTCCCTTTTTTTTTTTTTTTTGACAAATTGTAAAAGGAAGAATTTGAAATGAAAAAGCAATTGAAATAATGGCCAATCTTTTGAATTGTTAAGCATTACTCTTACTCTCAGTGTATGTTATGTCTGCTTTTAAGTAATTTATTATTTTGATTGAATGTCTAAACTTTTACTCTGCTTATCTTATCTTTGCCACATCTGTTAAAATATGCTATCAGCCCTTTTTTTTCTTTCTTTTTTTTTTTTCGTTTTTTTTTTGTTTTTAAACTAAAATAGTTTAAATATTTTAATTTTTTGTATGAAAAATTTTTTAAAAAAATTCTAAATGTTATGAATAATTTGCATAAATTACATGTAATTAATATTGTATAAAATATGAGAAATTCTTTTTGTTTATTATTTAAATTAAGTAAATAAACTATTATTTATTATATTAAAATGTGAAAAAAAAAAAAAAAAAAAGAATTAGAAAAGTATTTTTTTTTTTTTGTTAAATACCATTATTTGATTAATTGCTTCAAAAATTTGTTAAAATGAAAAGAATGATTATGTTAGAAAAAGAAAATTTAACAAAAATTTCGAATTAAATCGAAATTTGAGGTGATGATAATAATGAAACGAAACATTGAACATAGTTTTGTTATTATTTCAAAAAAAGAAAAAAAAAAACATTGGAAGAAAAATATAAAATAAAATATGCATTATTAGAAAAGGAATAGCAATATTTGAATTAAAAATTTCAAATTATAAAAAAAAAAAAATAAGTCATTTAAAATGAAAGAATTGAAATTATTAGCTAGTTTTTTTACAAACATTTCTTGCTGAATACTGAATAACTAGCTGATACTGATATAAGTTGAAAAAGTACAAGCAAATCTTTGGATTTTATCAATTTTTATTTTTTTTTTAGAAAAAATAAAAATGATTTTTTCTATAATAGAATATAAAATATGCATTGTGGGAAAAAAAATTTTTATTTACTATCTTTAAATTTGAATAAAATAATTCTTCAAGAAATTTTACATGCATTAAAGAAAGAATGGAAAGATGGAAGTAATTGATTTGAAAAATTTAACAAATAATAATTAATCCATGCTGATATATTAAAAGATAATAAAATAGTTATTAAACTATTTTATGTAAATGGTACTGAATATAAAAGATCAAATGTTCGAAAATTTTAAAAAATAATCTTAATATAATTTTATAATGTTAATGAATTTTAAATTTGTTACTTAATGCTACTAATAAGTAAGGTTTAAGTAACATATAACTAACAATAAAAGAAAATTGTTAAAAAAAAAAAAAAAACGATATATCGTTGCATAGCTTAAAAATGGAACAAGTTTAATGAAGAAATTGTAAAATGTAAACTAGTCAAATTTTTTGAAACGCAAGAATTCTTTTCCAAAAATAAAAAGAAAGAGAGAGAGAGAGAGAGAGAGAGGGTAAAAAAAAAAGAAAGAAAAAAACTGTTTGACTGTGAAAAGTGTACTTTTATCAAAATTGTTCATTTAAACTGTCATTAATCTATTCATTGGGTTTTGAATGTATCAGTAATAGAAGAATATTGTGTTATTTTGCTCCATTGAAAATTAATTTACTTTACTTTCCTTTTTTTTTTTTTTTTTTTTTTTCATTTTAAAATAATTGAAATTCCATTTGTTGTTCGTTGTTTATAAGATCAAAAGAAGAAAAAACGAATCGAACTGGAAAAGATGAAATGGAGTAGCAAATTATCGATGGCCCAGGAAATCATCATCATCAGCACCATCATTATCATCATCATTACCATCAATCATCATCATTATTGCTATCATCGTCACTATCTTCAATCATCATTATCGTCACTATAATGATCATTACCAATATCATCATTATCGTTGACCATCATCACCATCATCATCATCATCATCATCATCATCATCATCATCAGCAACATCATCATCATCATCATTACCATCAATCATCATCATTATTGCTATCATCGTCACTATCTTCAATCATCATTATCGTCACTATAATGATCATTACCAATATCATCATTATCGTTGACCATCATCACCAGCAACATCATCATCATCATCATTACCATCAATCATCATCATTATTGCTATCATCGTCACTATCTTCAATCATCATTATCGTCACTATAATGATCATTACCATTATCATCATTATCGTTGACCATCATCACCAATCATCATCATCATCATCATCATCATCATCATTATCATTGTCGTCATCATAATATAGAGCTTATCAGCCTAGTAAAATGACTTAATAGCAATGTCATCAACAGTGATAATATTCACCTTTAAATGTCAATTTTAGTAAGAGGATTTTTTTCTTTTTGAATTTTTGAATCATTACAACATTTATAAGGAATCAAATTAAGTCAATTTATTTATAGCAGCAATAAATTAAATTGGTATACAATTTAAAGTGTTTGAAAAATAAAAAACATAAAAAGTAAAATTGCAGTTGTTTATTATAAATTAAACTTAATTCAACTTCCAAATGTTTTTATTCCATATCGATTGAATTAATTTCTCAAAAGAAAATGAAAAAGAAAAGAAATATTATGAGGAATATTTATTGATATGTTTCATCAACATTATAATAAATGCTTATTCATTCAATGTGGAAAATTTTAACAACGAAATAGAAGAAATTTTTTTTTCATGACATATTGGTTTAAAATTTTGCAGACAAGAAATTTTTTTTTTTTTTTAAATTTTTTAGGCAATGAAAAATTTCTGAAACTTCAAAATTTATATCAAATAAATTGAAAATTTTAAGCTATTCTTTTCAAACTGAATGAAAGGAAAAAGAAAATTGAAATGATTGTGCATGAGTCAATCGAATCATAACGCTCAATCTGTTAGATTGTTTGTTTCGATTACTTTTATTTGTTTGTTTGTTGTTTTCATTTGTTTGTTTTTTTTTTTTTTTTGAAACTTGATCAGCTTGTTTAAAGTATCAAAAAAGGAAAGAAAAAACATATTTTTTCACAATATCTTATGAAAAAAAAATTTTTTTTTTAAATAAAATGGTAGTTTTAATTTTTTTTTTAAAAAAAAAGGGGCAAATTAAAAATAATTATTATTTACTAAAAATCTTCGAGATGAGAGTTTTGAAGGAAAAAAGAAAATGCAACGAAAAAAGTAAAAATGCTAAGAGAAATTCTTTGCAAGTTTGGAAATTTTTTACAAAAATTTCAATAGTATTACTTTTCAATTTTAGTAGCTTTTTCTTTTTTTCATAGCTTGTTTAAACTATCAAAAAAGAAAAAAAGCGAATTTGGAAATTTTTTTTTCCTTAAAATTTTACATACTTTTTTCATAATTAATTTGAATAAGTTAATTCTCAATTAAGGCTATTATTTATAAAACTATGTATTAAATTATGTAGCATCTATTATCTCTTTCTTTTATCATATCATCACAACTTTTAATTTCTTTCTTCAAAAACTTTTGCTTAATTTCAAATTATTCAAGTGAGTGTTTTCTTGAATAAAACAAATGTTATAGTGAACAAAATGAATTTCATTGATATGCTAGTAAAATGTTGTTATTGATGATAAAATGTTACCAAATTTGATTGAAATGCATCGAAGGAAAGAATGGACAATCAGATAAAAGTGAATCAAAAATCAAAATATTCAATAATAACAAAAAAAAAAAAAAGAAGTGAAAGAAAATAAAAAAAATAAAAAGTAACAATTAATGGAAAAAAGGATAGAAAAACGAGTAAATAAAGTAAGAAGAAAATATAGATGAAATGGATAAGTGAATGAATCGATAAATAGACATTTGATATTAAAATTTATTTTCAGATTCTAATGATAGCAATTGATTTTTTCCTTTTCAACTATTCAATACTTTTATATTTTAAATAATGCCTAAAATACTTATTATCAAACAATTATATTCATTAAGACCATACTTATTATTATTTCCTTCTTCCTCTTTATTATTATTATTATTATTATTATTATTATTATTATTATTATTATTATTATTATTATTATTATCATTATTATCATTATTATTATTATTATTATTATTATTATTATTATTGTATTAGATAGGAAAAAAGGAGGAAAATGTGGAATTCAACGTTATTGATGTGAACTATCTGTATCCATGTGAAAAATTAATGAATGATGTAGAAATACTTTGATCTTTGATGGTTTAAGTGAAATCAAACAGAAAGACAATAACAATGTTAAATTTGTAAAGATGAAAGTAATTGAAAGTATTGTAACAAATAATAGCGATGAATTAATATCCTGGAAATAAGAGTAAAAGATATACCATAAAGTTGTGATGAGAAATGGTAGATGAAAGAGTTAATTTTTATTTATTATATTTTTTGCTCTCTCTCTCTCTCTCTCTGTCTTTCTTTCCCTTTGAGGTTTTCTTTAAATGTCACCACATAAATAAGCTATCTTTTCATATCGTAACAGTTTTTTCATTTGTTTTTCTTTTATAAAATAATCAAAAGAGATTATACCAGGATTAAAATGATCATGATAAGGTAGAGAGGTGAAGATAGTAGATAATAATTAATATACCAATACGAAAAAATGAATACCTGTTGTAATTTTAAAGTATATTTGGGTTCATCAATTATATTTTTCCATTCATTTTAGCTAAGAACTCTAAGCATCAAATCAGATAACTTTAAACTGATATTTCATTTTAGAATATACTAGCTCTATAAGTTAGCACTTATTTATGCCTCAGACTTTCCTTTAAAATAATCATCTATTATCATTTTGTTGAGATTAAACAAACAAATGGATTAGTACTGAGAATGGATTAATTGAAATTAATCAAATAGTTCCAAATATCAACCATTGTGGGGTACTTTATAAGTAAGTAAGACAAGTGTTTTTGTACATTAAACTAGGAAATAGTATTATCCAATATTATCCAATTTTACTTTAATTAGGTGTTAAAACTATTTTAAAATATCAATTCATTAAAAAAAAAAATTGATAATTTCAACTTAATTGATTATTTTATATGCATTTCTTGGGTGCTGATCATATACAGTCTTTTCATTTGACAGCTTAAATAATAAAATAAACTTCAATAAATAAATTTTGAACAGTAGTTCAGTAGCGAAATTAATTAAATTTTTAATTAGTCATGGTTCCAATTCATTTTTGCGATTAAAATTAATTTTTATTTCAAATTTAAATACTGATTCCTATGAAAATCCTACAATTTGGAAGAGTTTTTGTATATTAAACTAAGAAATATATCCTAGTATTATCAAATTTCATTTCAATTAAGCGTTAAAACTATTGAAAAATATCAATTAATTAAAAAAAAATTGATAACTAGAAGTTGGTTAATTATTTTATATTCATTATATGGGAACTGGTTATATGTGATGTGGTCATTTGATAGCTTAAATAATAAAACAAACTTTAATAATTAAATTTTGGACAATATTTCATTAGCGAAATTAATAAAATTTTTAATTTGTCGTAATTTTAACTCATTTTTTCCATTAAAATTAATTTCATATTTCAATCTAATCTATCATATATAAGCCTAAAAATTAATTGCATAAATTCATCCAACTTTTAACTGTAAAGGATTGGGAGATTTTAATTTTATACTTTAAAAGGATCATTTACATATACTACTTGACAATTGATGCATTAGTTAAAACTTTATTTACTTAAAACAAAAAGTGGAAAAAGCCTATTGTATTAATTACTCAATCACTGTTAATTACCATTACCTAAATTGTAAGCTTTTAATCTGGATAAGTTTATAATTCATTACAGTTAAGCTTAATGATTGAAATAAATTCATTTTTTATTTTAACATATTACCTAATCGTGCTATCGCTATACTTATTAGCGGTATGAAGGCGCTAATGGAATGTCCATTTGATGTCCATGTTGACCGGTCATTATTTGAGCCAGTTTCAATTTCATTACTATCACGAACAAATGCAAAACTATCTTCTAATTGCTGTAATCTACAACAATTACTAATAACTTAAATAGAAATTCAATAATTTCTATAAAAATGTTCTAATCTTTGCCGTAAAATAAAAGGTATAAGAAAAGAAATGTAATTGTCATTTAAATTCATCCATAAAAAACAAAAAAAAAAAAAAAAAAAAAAAAACTGAATTGTGAGAATAAATAGAATAGTTGAAAAAAGGGAATAATTACGGATTGTTTCATTTAATTTCTGACCTGAATTTAAATTGCTATGTACTTACTGGTCGAATGAATAAAATACAGAAAGTAATTTCTCTAGAATTAAATGAAACAATCTATAATTTTTGAGTCAAATGGTGAACCAGGTGACCAAATAGAAACAATGCAAATAAGCCAAATGAGCCAAATCTTGAGTTTTGAAGGAAAAAAAAAAAGTTATATCGAGTAAAATTTGAAATTTCTTAAACTTGATTTTCATTTTCATTTTTTTCTTACCCTGTAACTAGCAAATTGGTACATTTTAGACATTTGATATTTATTAGCCAGCAAAAAACATTGAATAGAGCAATTTAACTATAAACGCTGTATTTTAACTTAATTATAACAGTTAATATTTCGAAACTTTAATATTTTTAAACATTTTTAAACACTATAACACACTTAATATTTTTAAATAGTATTAGCATTGAATGGAAATAAAATTTAACATTATTAGAACTTATTTCCTAGTTTAACATACAAAAAATCTTACAAATTTTAATTGTAAAAAATAAATTGGGGCTGTGAAAAATTAAAAAATTTATTAATTTCGCTACTGAAATATTATTAAAACTTTAATAATTAACTTTTTTTAAAAGTTTATTTTATTATTATTGCTTTGAAATGACCAAGCGGTACATGACCAGCACCCAAGTAATGCATATAAAATAATCAATAAAGTTGAAAATATCTATTTTTTTTAATGAATTAATATTTTTAAATAGTATTAGCGCTTATTTAAATTTTTTTTAATTTTAAAATTTCTTTAATTTTAAAATGATAAACTGATATTAAAGTATTGAATTCAAATTTTTTTAGCATATTTCACCAACACAGAAATGAATTTTCATATCAAATTTAGGTTTACATTAGCAAAATTTATTATGCGATTCACGTGTATCACGTGCAAAGATATTAAAAAGATCTAAAAAAAAAAGATATTATTGTTTGTATATTATTCTCCGTTATTATATTCACAAAAAATGCAGCAAATTGAAAATTTTGAAGTTCTCAAGAACTAATTAATATTATTTGTACGATAAGAAAGGCAAAAAAGGTTAATTCAAGTGGTTCAGTAGGAATTTTAATTGAAATCAGATCATTTGTGACAATCAGCGTAATCGATCACCAGGATTGTGTGTGGTGTCATCGTATTCTGATGGTCGATTAGCTAGCTGACCCCTCAAGTAATAGTCCAACGGTGTGGTCAAATATTCGCTTACTACTTCATCCTCGTCCACATTTTGGCTCATCTTCTTCTCTTCTTTCACGTTTTCCTCATTCTACGTGTAAAAAAAAAAAAAGAGAATATCACACGTACTTCAAAAATTAGTGTGAAAGCGTTTTTTAAATAAAATGTGTAAGTGTATCCTACATAATATTTCTTTGAAATTAAATTTCCTCAATGACAATGTTATTTTCATAGTATTCAACGGTCACCTTTATTAATTAGCCAAACTTACCTAATTAATTAATTAATTAGCCAACTTACCTTTTCAACTTCTGTGCTTCTTTCTTTTCCAATGACTTTTTTCTGACTAATTGAATTAACCTCTATTTCGGATTGCTTAACATCTGGTAGTTGTAATTGTTGACATTTGTCTGGAACTGTTGACACTGAGGTTTCTGTAGATGTTAATTTCACCGGTGTTTCTGTAATTTCTTTTAGTGGTATTTTTGATTTCTCAATTATTTGCTTTGTTGGCGTCGTTGTTGTGTGCTTTTTCTCCTTTCTCTTTTTTTTCATTTCTACAAAATAGAAATCTCATAATATTGACAGGAAATTTTTTAACTTAAAAAATTCTCAAATTTTTTCTAATTTTTATTTTGAAAAAAATCAATGTTTTTCAAATTCAAAAACTTCATCCCTTTAAGCATCAATGTTAATTGATAATAATTTTAATTATTATCGAATTAAAATTTCTTAGCTATTGCAATTCGAAGAAATAAATTTCACAAAGTGAACATATTTCTATACCTTACTGAATTAGTTACAAAACGTAAAAAAAAAAAAACGTTTTGATAAAATCTTATTTTGTAAGACAATAGCGATTGCATATCAAATAAAGAGCTTAATTTAAAAAACAGCCTTTAAATTTGGCAAAGAATTAATTACCAAATAAATTTGTTTGTGATGATAAGTCATCAGAATCTGAAAATAAAAATAAAAAATTAACAAATTTTACTTCAAATCTATCATACTGTTTGATAAAGCAAACATACTTAAACAAAGTACTGCAAAAAATTAATTCAAACAAATAATGCTAGAATAATTTTTCTTATTACTTGCTGAATTAGTTAATGAATGAGCACAAATAAATAAATTTGTCATTTAATAAACAAAAATAACATTGTGTATACTGCACATCCAATTCATTCGCTTTGGAAGCTTTCAGTATATCCAAAAGTTTGTTGTCATCCATTTCTTTTGTTTCAGATTTCATTTTTTTATTCTTCAATTCCATTTTATACATTGCTTCTTGTCTTGAAATAGCAACTATTCTGTTCGTACGCTTAACACGTTTCTCTATCACTTCCTTATCTTCACTTTTACGTAATGCTTCTTCGGTTGTAACTTTTAACTTTTTCAAATCATCTGTCAATGCAATTTTATTTCCATATTGATCTTCCCATGTTTCCATTACACTTTCTTTTGATTTTTTAATTAATTTTCTTGAGGGTTTATCACTTTTAACAATTGAACACTTATTAGCTGTTACATTTGCAAGAGGATTATCATCTCCTCCTTTTTTAATTGTTGCTACAACACGTATCTTTTCACCGTGTGTATCATTCATGATAATGTTTTTCTTTCCAACAATCTAAATATCTTTTAATATTTTTACACCCATATGCAATCAATAATTTAGGAAATAAAAATTGTTACAAATGAAGATATTAAATTCATAAATTACTAATTAGAATAACTGAAATTAATTCATAAGTAAATGAAAATTTGAAAAAAAAAAAACATTAATATTTTGGTGCTAATTCGAATTAGAAAATTAACTTTTGAAAATTAGATTTGAAAAGCTTAATTTTTATATTTGAGTAGTAAATGAAATCTAAAAGATTATGTTCAGCTAATAGATGATAATATCTATTAGCTAAGTATAATCTACAAATTTAACTATGCTAATGTAAACATACCTCAACAGTTGATTTTATTGGCTGTTTCATCGTTTTCAGCTTCCGAGTTTTTATTTTAGTACGTGCCGGATGCATTACTGTAGTAATTCGTTCAAATACTGTTGCCTCCTTTATGATAGAGAATAAATGATCGAAATATTTTGTTACTAATAATCTTTTTTTTTAAAAAAAATATATATATATAAATAGTGAAGTTTTTAAGTTATATTTTTATTAACTTAAGTATAATTTAAGTTAAATACATTGCGTATAATTTGATATTATCAATTTCATTTTTCACTTTTATTTCTTAAATTACTGCATTTTTATTTTATCACAAGATAAGTAAATGCTTTTTTCTCAATCTAACAATCATCAAAAAAATATAGATAATGAAATTTAATCTACATTTAGAAAGTAAGGAATTTGGTAATCTCAAAATTGAACTAATTATATAATTACTGAATTTGTTATCAGTCCCACTTATATGATTGGAATATGCCATTTTATAAAACATTATTAAATTTTATTCTTTTACGTTTTAAACTTTCATACTTTTGTAACTCTAATCTCTTTAATTTGATTATTGCCTATCAGATGTATAAGTATATCAATTTATTTGTAAACAATTTAAAAAAAGAAAAAATTTGAAAGCTTTATTGAATTTTGTGAGTAAAAAAAAAAAAAAACTAATCATTTTTAATTCTGCGACTGAAACTAACATCATCATTACGATTATAATTCGAATGGGAAAAATTTTTTGGTCGCATTATATCTTCAATTTTTTCAAATACTGTATCACACTAAAATGTTAAAATGAAAATTAGATATAATAAATGAAACCTCAATAAATTTTCCTGGTATCTCTCAGTGTAAATATATTTTGAAATTTATTGAAAATGTTAGCTAATTTCAATTTAATTTATAGTACATTTCATTCTTGCAAATACTAAACAATATCATGGAAATGTTATTGTTAATCAAAAATAATAATATTAGAAGTAAACAACTAAGAACCAATTAATTAACCTCGAGAAGTTAATAGAAGAAGGAAACAAGAAAAACCTCATCAGTACATCTGATCATATATTCCGGTAAGATTATTGCGAATGCATTTGTCATATCTTCGACATATGTGTCATCCTAAAAATAAAAAAATATACATATTTCTTAGTAGAAATTATGGCATGCAGCGATTATCTTTGCATGCACAATCATTTGCATGCATAATTGCTTGCATGCACAATCATTTGTATGCATGACTACAACTGCCTTGTTTAAATTAACTTTTAAATTTCAAACGCTTTAAAATTTCTTATATTTAGTCGAAGTCATAGCTATCGGCTTGATGCCTAACCATTGTTTACCACTGTGTTTAAGTGATTGTTTATGAATTAGCTACAGACAATGCCTTGACAAAACCATCCTAATTTTAAAATTTAGAAATATATATGAAATATGATGAAAGAGAAAAAGCTGGAATGATGAGAAATCCGTCTAACATCGTAATCACTGATACTATAAGTTGCGCTAATTGATTTCGATTTCGATTTGCTTAAATCCTGCAATTATTTGTCATTCATTCTTTAATTGCTGCAATTAATTATCATCTTTTCCTCTCTAAAATCTCAATGAGTATATCTTCTCTTATCACTGTTGCAAGTAAAACTGTAAACTTATCTGTGTGAGAGTACTGGAACAAAACTATGGTACCTTTGGTTTTGTTTTCATATTTTTCATATTATGGCATCCTATAAATATATTTATTATTATAATTTTTCTCTCTTTTCACACTGATTATTTTTCATTATTTAATTACGATTTTGTTTTATTAAAATGATTGGAATATGATTACTTTGCATGAATGTATGTGTGCATAAATATCATAAAATCAAGAAAAAAAAAAACCTTCAAAAAGCTTTCTTTCATCCAGCTGAAAGATAATCAAGTTTAAAATTCTAAATCAAATTTTCAAGAAGTGAGGAATTCGCATTTGTACTTTTATTTTATTTTCTATGCATTTTAAATTTAGTTATTAATTTTTTTTTTTTTGTATTTTTTGGGTCAAAATCAGTAAACAAATTAGCAATGTAATTAATTATTTTTTTATGGTAAAATAACTTATCTGACGCAAACTTAATGATTAGAAATAAATATAAATGTACTTTGGGAGCATAATTTTTGATGATGTCGTGTCGTGAAGACTTTTTAAAAGTTTTCTTTGAAAAACCTAAATTATTCACTCATTTGTGCAAATAAACGACTCATTCAATTCAGGTGTACTTCCGGAATGATTTGACGGATAAATAGATGAAGCTATCTACGAGTGTGAATAGTTACAATCAATGACAGCAGTAATACTCAATCTTTCATAGTGTCAACAATTAGTTTTTTAATTAAATTTTAATTTCCGATTTATGCTAAATTTTGTGACAACTTAATGTCAACTTAAAATGATTGCTATGATGCAGTTTAGTCCAGCAGGCAAAGACTTATTTGTATGATTCGTTTTCTAGATTTTACTAATAAAGTTAGCACACTCAAAGTTAGCAATTAAAGTTAGCATACTAATCGCAAAATTAAAATTATTTTAAAATAATAATAGGATGCAACCTGTTGCAGTTGGTCTCATAATTTTCCATTTGCTTTTGCTGCTTAAAAGAGTTCCAATTATTGAAATATTTATAAGTCTGTTTCAATTGAATAGTAAATATATCATTTATAGTGCCACGGTACTATTAAAGTAAGTAAAATATAAGATTTTGGTGGATATCCGAAAAATCTCATTTCGATTATCCTTCATTTTCTGTTAAATAACAAAATATAAAGTAAGCGAAAAGTTACCCACCTTCGAGAATCATTGCTATCTCGTGAAGTAGAAATTGTTGATTTTGAAATATGAAAAAAAAAAAAAAACTTGATAAAAAAGTTCTAAAATTCTATTATTCTTTTTAAAAATAATTTTAATAAAAAAAAATAGGATAAAAAAAGGTTTCAATAATTGTGTTTATTCAATTTTCTGTATGATTTTGTTCTTTATATAATTTTTTTAAATGAAAATTTTCTCATTAAGCAAATTCCTTGTGAATATTATAGTGGATAATTAAAATAAAAAGAATAGAAAACTAAAATATTAATCTAGAATTTGTCTGAAATTTTGGATTGTATGCGTTAGTAAAAGAACAAAAATATAACGCTGCCAAAATTGCACTGTAATTAAAATTAACTGAGATTGTTTAATTTTTAAATTTGATAACATAGAATTTTTTCTATCAATAACTTCTTTTTTACAATGACTGACAATTATTTATGCATCACAAAATTAGCTAAAAAACAAAATCGAAAAATACTGATTGAATTGAAAGGAAAAAATGAGGAAACAAATGTTTATCTACCGATTTTATCACCGATTTTATCGATTTCGATTTAACATTTTTTGAAGATGAATTTGTTGTCGTAGCATTTTTTGCATGAAATTTTCTAAACATACTAATGTTATGAAAGCTCTGTGATTACTTATTTTTTTTTTTCTCTAATTAGTTTAAAGAAACAAGAATCGATCATTGATTTGCCACAGATTTATCTACTCTAATGCTGATTTTACCTGAATTAACCTTTTCATCTCATTTGTCTTCCATACAATTTACTTACTTCAACATTTGTTTAAGTTAATCCACTGAGCGGAGATGAGTTGAAGTAAAAAAAAATAAAATTAAAATTACCTAATTTAACTGATTACATTTATAATATCAAATCTAATTTGCATATATGTATTCAGCAGTTAGAATTTTATTTCATAAAAAATGAAAAGTGATGATATTTTTACGCAGAAGAAAAAGTCTTTTACTAATTATAAAATTAGGTTCAGGTGATATCATTGATATGTTTTCGAGAATAAAATACTCTTGATAATATATTTCTTATATTTTTTGACTAGCTATCAAAAAGTAAATGAAAACTTGGAACAAATGTTGTCATTGATTAAAGATTCATATAGACAATAATATTTAAAAAAAAAAAAAAAAAATTGGTCAGATATCAAATTTTTAGCTATCAGAAAAATGCAAAAGATTGATATAAGGCAAATAAAATTTTTACTAAATAAAAATTACAAGAGGAATAATATTTATACATTCTGATTGGAATAAATAATAACAATTTAGCAAAAAAAAAAAAAAAAAAGGATAAAAAAACTTAAAATATGAAACTTCAAAAACTAAACTTCTTCTGAGGGATAATGATTTAAACTATAAATGTTTTAAATATTTTTTGCTAACTTTCATTTGCGATATAAATCTGTCAGAACTTTTGCCGTAATCTTATACAATTATGATATAAGCAATTGTAACGATACTAAATACTGTAATAAAAATTAAAAATAGAGACATTTTTGCATAGTTTAGATTTAAATGCTTCCATTGTCTGATAATATAATAAAATTAAATAAAGTTTATATCAATAATTCATCTGTAGTCCAAATAGCGGTATTGTTTTCATTTCAGTTTCAGATGGCCATTTTACCTTTAATTTGAATTAAAATTCAAATTGATTATATGGAATTGTTGCAAGTAATTGATGGTGACAGACTGATGTCTTTAAATTGATATCATTATCAGGCAATGGAAGCATTTAAATTCATAAATTGAGAGCTGTTTTAACATAAATGAACATTTTAGAATTCAAATTCATACCTACCAGAAACTCAGAACTCAAAATTCATAGTTCAAAAAATTAGAAATAATATTAACTGGAGAATTTCAACTGTTGTCATTATATTAATTAATAAGTGAAATTTTTTTTTTTTGTTTTTTGATATAATTTCAAATTTTTCTTTATATTTTTTAATTATCTTTTTAATATTTTTAAAAATTTCTTTTATGTTTTTTTTTTTTTTTTTATACTTTTGTATGTTATTTTTCTTAATTTATGTGTATTTATATCATTTTTTTCTTTTTTAACTGCTTTTATTATTTCTTTTAGTGTTTTTACATTTATTTTTAGTCGTTGATTTTTTAAATTTTTATATATTTTTTCAATTTTTTTAAATATATTTTTTATATTATTTTTGACATATTTTTTTATTGTTTTTAATTTTTTATTTTTTTTTTAATTTTTTCAATTGTAATACAAACTTTTCAGTTGATAATATTCAAAGAATAAGTAATCATCGAACGCTTCAAAAAAGATTAATGCAACTATTTTTATTTTAAAAATCTATTTAAATTTATCATTTTCAGTACTGATAACTAATAAACAGTCAAATTTTTTAAAAAATTTTTCTATTTATCACTCATTTAAAGCACAAATGTTATAATTTGCATCATATCGATGTTATAAATGAATTACATTACTGATAGAGACGAAAATTTTTCATAGGGGGTGATGTCAAAGGTCAGCTTCAGGGGAGGTTAATTGATGCTTGGCCGATGGGCACTTCGGATTTTTGTTGGAGATTTCTGAATTAATTAAATTTGGCATTATTGAGCAACGTTGCAACCTCATAGTTTAGAGAACGATTTTTAGTAAGGCGTTATCATTCTGAATATTTCTGATCATTTTCCTGATTATGTATGATTTAAGGAATTATAGACATCTAATTGAATGAGTAACGACGAAGCAGATTTAAATGGAGTTGAAGGACGACTGTTGGCGTTGGCTGGATCACCTTCTCAGTATATCAAATTAAATGTTGGCGGTGCATTGTACCAAACAACTATATCCACTTTAACAAAACATGATTCCATGCTTCGCGCTATGTTTTCCGGTCGAATAGAGGTTTATTTTCATGTTTCATGTTACTATTTTGTGTAAAATTTTGGTAGAATTAGAATCACTTTTAATTCGTTTCAAATCTTCATTTGTAATTCATCCATTAAATTTTTGTAATTACGTAAATTTTTTCGCTATTTTTACCATTTTTTCTGCTAGCAGAAAATGTAATGCATTGAATGAATAAACTGATCTGATGATTTGAATGATGTTATGATATTTCAGATCTTAACTGATAGTGATGGTTGGGTATTAATTGATCGCAATGGAAAGCATTTTGGAACGATTTTGAATTTTTTAAGAGACGGTTATGTTCCATTACCGGAATGTCGTGTTGAAACAGCTGAAATACTGGCTGAAGCGAAATATTATCTTATTCAGGTAGGTAAGATTAAGCCTTCTTCACCCATCAATATTTTATTACAAAGGAGGATTCCTGAAATTCATTTATATTATTTGATTTACGATATAGTTTTTTGTAGGACTTAGTACAGCTATGTCAAAGTTGGCTAAAAGTGATAACAAAGGAAGACATTGAACCTGCCGGTATCTACAAGGTTCCACTTGTTAATACCAAAAAGGATTGCGACCGTATTGTGACTAGTACTACAAAGGTTCTGTTTCCAATGCTTTTGTGGATGAATGTAATACTTCAGTAATCACCTCATTTCTTTCATTTGTTAATATACAAAATTGTTAAATAATATTAAATAATATACAAACTGTTAAATAATATTTTTTCAAAAAAATTATTAAATATGTTAAAATGTATATATGTTAGATAATATATGAATCATTTTAAAAAAAAATAATACACAAACCCATCAAAATATAGTTGCAAAACCGAAAAACTATTCATGTCATCTAGTTAGCTAAGAGTAGATATTTTTATCCATTAGGTGGATTTAAGAAGTTGTTTATCCTGCTGTAAGAGGAAGCATGTGCTTATGCAGCATACCAATAAGCATAATTCAAAGAAATGATCAAATAATTATATATCTAATGGACACTTTTTTCATGATGTAGTCCTACGTAAGAAATCGGATGGAAGTCCAGTCACTTTACTGAATTGCATTTTGTGGAAGTATTGATCAACGAAAGTTTTCTAGATCTTATATGTTTAGTACAGGAAAATATTTCATCTTTCATAAATTTTTGCTTGTAGCCTGTTATAAAGCTTCTAATTAATCGACATAACAACAAATATTCGTATACTTCTCAATCGGATGATAATTTAATGAAGAATTTAGAACTATTTGATCGACTTGTTACACGATTTAATGATCGTGTTCTCTTTGTAAAAGGTAACTGCTCTTCATGTTTTCTTCCTCTTAGTTAAATTAAATTGATAATTATGTTTTCCCATGAAAAACTGGTCGCGCTTTTTGCAGATATGGGTGCAGAGAATGCAGAAGTATGCCAGTGGACATTCTTTGGACAAGGCAGAAAAAAAGCCGAAGTAAGTTGGACAAATTTTTTCTTTTTATTATGTTGGAGTCATTTTTTTTTCACACTTGATTTTTTACGCTTTGAGTTCTTGAACGGCTGTTTTCAATAACTTTTTCGACTGATCGAAGTAGATGATCTGGTCACCACTTCCTGAAACATGAAATATGACTTATCATTAAATACTTTCACTTATCCTTTTACCACTAAATAGATTCCAGATATGTTGTACATCGATAGTTTATGCTACTGATAGAAAGCAAACAAAAGTCGAATTCCCAGAAGCTCGAATCTATGAAGAAGCAATGAACGTTTTACTATTTGAAGAACGACATGTTTGTATTCGTTGTGGTGGTGAAGGGGGGAGCTGTTCACCACCACGTGGCCTTTCTACATCACAGTTGCAACTTCCTCCATTTATTTATTCGTCTCACAGCGCTTCGGTTTCGGTACGTTAATGGCTGACTAAAACATCGAATTTAAAAAAAAAAAAAACATGTCTGACAATAGAATCAGATATGTTTTTTTGCGTGTATTTGTCAAGTATAAGTATTTTCATTGAAAAATTTTCTTTGGAATGTAATATTAGATTTGTTTCTAGCCACAGTGTACTTCACCTGCTTTATTTGGTACTGATGTGCCAGGAAATAGCGGGCAGGATGATCGACGTCGTGCTTCAAGGCTGGTTGACGGACGCTCAAATAGTCTTGTTGTAACAGCCATTAGCGAAGATGCAACTTGAGTGTTAAAACATAGTTTTAAGATGTCCAGGATTAAATGACTAAAATTTAGTGGTCCGCAAATTCAGTTTGTAAAAGTCCTTTCACTGAGACAAGTTTGCTGAAAAGTTTGCTGCTGCGAGAAACGAGGAAGTGTTCTGTTTACTTCTGTACAGGAACAAAATTTTGTTTTTATTATTATGTTGTATAATGTTAGTTGCTCAATATATCAAAAAAAAATCTATGCTTATGTTGATATTTCTCGTAAAACTATGTTTTTAATAGATTAAGAAATGTGAAATAATGTTAGTCTGTGATAAATTATTTCATGTTATTAGATTAAATTTTTTTGAAATGAGGAGAAAGAAGTTGTAGAACTATGAAAGGAATGTAGTCTTTTTTGCAGTTCAATGTTCACTGACGGTTGGTAGATCATATGATCTTTCATTTTCATGAATTTGTAAATGTTAATGGTTTGTCTCAATGTTTTTAAGTTGTTTTTTGTAAATAAAATCTTGTCTATGGAAGTCGTAAACTGGAATAAAGGAGAGACCTAAACAATATTTTAATCGATTACTTCATTAATGCATATGCATAAGATTTAATTATTAGATTACTGATTAAAGCAGTGCTGGCACTTCATTTTTGAAAAACTCATCTTTTCAGCGATGACAGCTGATTTATTAAAATTGTGCGATCCAACTGCTTATTATAATCAGTTCCTATCGGAAGCAATTTATCCAGATGGTCGGTCAATTAATTCTTTTCGGCCGATACTACTACGGGTTATTTTTTAATTATTTAACAGTTCTTCGTAAAATGATATATATTCATAGAGGTATCACGTTTCGACTTTGTCCGTGATACACCTCAGAATTTCTCTTTAATGTATGCATTTAAGACTGAAGAACTGACGGAAAGTGATGATGTTGAAGGATTAACCGTTTTGATATTTTTCGTAGTGTTTAGATGGGTGTTAACGAAAGATCGGCAGGTTCTAGTTTTGCTCGACAAGGTGGCGCAACTGTCACATGCAATATTGAGGCATTATTAGCACCTGTTTCGGATGCTTCAATTATTGTGCCTGTTATACAGGCTGCTCCAAATATACCAAAAGTAGGTCTCATTTTATTTCAGCCTTTATTAAGCAAAACACGAAAATTAATTCAAGTAAAATTTTAATTTGATGGCACCTTTTTTGCGGTATTAATGAATATTTGTCTTATTGGGAATTTCTTTCATAGAATTTGGTCGAGGATGCAATGGTTATGGTCAATCAGCTTGTGGTACAAAACGCTTTTTGTACAAAAGATGCATTGAAAACGGCTGGTGGACGGCTAACATGGCTCCTCAATTTACATATTATGGTGATTTTGTGATATTTTTATTTTTATTCATTATTTTGGTGCACTTGAAGACGGTGTGTCAGTTGAATCTACTCGTGTTGGACTGGAATGATAACAAAATGTGTCTTACAAAGTTAAAACATAAAGCATGAAGCAGTTAGGCAGTATAAGGTTCACGTTCAAAATGTAATTAACCTTCTTGATCCAAAAAAAAAAAACTAAAATTTAAGGAGTAGTATGAAAGTTGTTACAAAGATATTACATGCTAATAGTAACTTTAAATTATGTTGACTGACTGCTTTATAGATTTTAAATGTTGATGGGGCTATATGTGATGCTCTTTGTACATGTATAGCTGGAGCACTGGTTGATCTGCGGCTTCCTGATGCTTTTACTGATTATGAAGAGGATATCCCTATCGATATCAATAAAGTTAAACTCAGTGAGACATTTCATCACATCAAAGTTGCAGATATTCCTGTTTCATCGACATTTATTGTTTATAAACCACCAAATGAAGAGGTAAATTTTTCATCACGTCATTATATGAAGTATTTTAATTTAAAATATTGAATCCTTTTTACTAGCCAATCACTTCTCACATACGCTGTGACAGAGTTTGCGTAATTTCTCCATCTTTTTTTGAAAGATTTTTTTTCTTTTTTGTAATTTTCAGCCGCTAATGTAAATATTTAAATTGTTGATGAGATGATTTCGTAAATTTCTCAGTAAATTGTGTCAATGTGAAATATTAGACAATATCATTTTGACATAGAATATTATGTAAAACTTTAGGTAACTGAAGGTATCTCTATTTACTAATTAGTAATGGTCAGGTTTTAATAATAAGCTGAGGTAATGCAAAGTCTTTTTAGCCTGTTATAATGGAAGATGAAATGGTTTTGTAGTGTTGGGAATGAAAAGAAAAGATTTTTCTCTTTGAAATTCATAGTTTTTGTTTTATTTTTCAATATTTGGGATTTATATTGGATTTTTAATCTGATTTATATATGTCTTACTTATTGGGAATAGCAGTATTCTATCGATAAACTTTAGGTACAAAAAAAAAAAAAAAAAAGTTATTGAAATTGAAGTCGTACAAGTTTCAAATATTAAAGCTTGAAATAGAGCTTAATCTCTGTAATTAAATAGTACTTAATGGAATAATAATAGACACAGTTAACGAGTTTGTTTTGCAGGTAAAAATTCTTTGTGACCCAGTATCAGAATTGTTTCAAATAGCTCCGAATACAGTGATGATAGTTGTTGGAAATAATTCTCGAATCCATCGGATTAATCAATCAGGCATATGCGGTGATGAAATCACCATGCAGCATATGGTTGAGATGGCTATTAGACGGCAGAAAGTAGTAGCTGAATCGATGCTCAAAGCTAAAGAAGCTCATTTAATGAAAGGAAGAGAATAGCATCTTTGAATAGAGATCTCGTGAATTATTTTTGTTAAATGATTATCCTCTATGAAGTGATATGATCGAGTCTTAGATTTTTTTTTTTCATGATTTATACTGGTTGAAGTAAAATGGCAGGTGTTGGCAAGAACTCAACAGTGGTTCTATTCTTTTAACAAAGAGAAATTTAAATAAAGCTCATTAGGTTTTTTCACGCATATTTTCAAGTTCACTTCTGCTCTATTATACATGGATACTTTAATTTTCGACTAATTTTTGCTTGAGCGCAAAAAAAAAGAGAGACTGTTATATTTAAAAATTAAAGAGAATAAACTTAAACTAATTCAGTGGTTAATTAGCTACTCTTACAGGGAACAGTAGGTTATTTATTCATCTCTTTATTAGTTGCATCTTATTGATAACATATTTCGTAGTCGATAATATTGTATTATATTTCTTATACTCGTGGCATTTTTCGGTGGATTTATCTGATATATGTACATACAGTTATTGCCTTTTTTAATTTAAGTTTTCAAAATACAGTTATTATTTGTTTTGAATTAAGGTTGAATAAGAATCCTGGTTTATTGTTGAAGTTGCCTGTCATTAAAAATATTATACCTGAAAAACCACTACATTTTTCCAAGGAAATGTGTTTTTGTTTTCCGAATATTCATATGCCACAATTTTCACATACTGTAACAATCAGTCATTCTTTAATTTGATGGTTGAGAGATATGAATCATCTCACTTTTTTTATTGATATTTGAACAAAAACATTGCAGAAAAGGGTTAAATATAAATAATAACGATTTAATAAGAGAATTTTTATTAAATTGATAGAAATAATTGATATATAATTGTGACTCATGCAATGGAATCACTGATAAATTAGTTGTAAATCTTCACAAAATAAGAGTATTAATAAAAAAAAAGTGATGATATGAAAAGAGTTACTCGTTTTATAAATAGTTTTATAATACATGTGGAATTTGTATAGTTCATAAACTGCATTATATAATGACTATTTAGACGAAGCTTCTAGGTGATAAAAAAAAAAAAAAAACTTTGATTTAAACTTAACAATGATCAGATTGAAGATCGATTTCAATTAATTGACTGGTCAATCGATTCTGTAGTGATTATTCGCCGTATATAAATTTGTTTACGTCGCATAGTTTTTACCAGTTGCATGGTTTGTATTTGTCACACTGTCTTTCATCCTGCGACACATTATCGATTAACTTTCATAAACCGGAAAAATGATGTCCTCTATTTGTTTTTCCTTCCATTAGCAATTTATTCGCTTTCATTTATAAAAGTTCTCCCTTTTTATTACTCTGAATTTAATTGGAAATTTTAAATTTTATTTTTCATTAAATACCATCATTGTTATTATCATTTATAAATATCGTAGTCATTTTATAGTTTCACTGCTAATTGATAAATCGTATTGGCGCTGATAGCTTTTTTTTTTTCAGCTTATTGAGTTTATAGTAATCTTAATCATAATTATGTTGATCTGTAAGATCTTCCAATATTGCTGATTTGGAGTCTTTCAACTTTTAAATGTTCCATTTTCGAGTTTGTTAAGATTAACGATCACCACAAGTTTTATTTCACCATTCCTAATTTGTTTCTGTCGAACTTTTTTGAAATGCTGAATCTTTTTCAGAAATTTAATCGCTTGGAATTTAAACGATTCCCTAATTCTCTTTAGTAATTTCCTCAAACAATAGAATTAATAGAGTTTGTATAAACTTTTTTTATATTGTTATACGATGAGATTTGCAGTATGAAAAAATAAGAATGTCCAAAAGTCGGGAAATTTAATATAAGTTTAAAATGGTGTAAAATTCCTAATTTGAAGCTTATGGTTTGCTTCATATATATTTTCACTCTATATGCTATTACATCATATTAGGAAGCTATCATTTTCATGAAATATATAATAGTGCTTATTTAATTTTACATTTAAAAAGAAATAAAATTTTATGTTCGCGAAAAAAAAATAAAAAATAGAAAAAATCGAAGCTAATTTCGAAACTAATCATTTCATTTTATCACATTATTATTCCGTAGAGCTCTTCTTTTTATAGCTTAGAATAATTTTACATATTTCATTCCAGACAAAACAAATAATTCATAATGGCAATGCCAAATTTATCGTTACAAAATATTTTTGCTAGTGTAGATACTGATCATTCCGGCAAGATAAGTGTGGATGAATTACAACGCGCATTGTCAAATGGTACATGGAATCCGTTCAATCCTGAAACTTGCCGATTAATGATAAGTAAATATTTTCATGTCTTATCATTAGTGACATTCCAAATATGCTTTCTGAGTAATTTTTTGGAATTTTTATTCGAATTTAAAAGAAAAAAATTAACGGATGCAGCTTATTTAGAATTTTAAAATTGATTAGTCTAACTTACAGCAATGATTACTCAAGAAGGCTTAGCATAGATTTTTCATTTCTTATCTAATTTAAAATCAATATAAAAGTGATGTGACAATAGTACATTAATCTTAAGAATGTGTTAAATTGACAGGTTTACAGGTATGTTTGATTCCGATCATGATGGTGCTATTAATTTCAATGAATTTTCTGCTTTATGGGATTATATCAATCAGTGGACACAATGTTTTCGTTCTTTTGATGTAGATGGTTCTGGCAATATTGATAAACGAGAGCTTTCAATGGCACTTTCTAAATTTGGTCATTTGTCTTCCTCAAATATTATTGTGTATTTGTAATTGTCTTTTTTTTTTTTTTTTCACAATTGATTGTTTGTTTAGCAAATGAAAAATGGAAAATGAAATTAATTCAGAGTGTATCATATGTCAATAGATGGTAAATCTGTTTTTTTTTTTTTTTAATTTTTGTTTTATATTTTTAGGTTATCGATTAAGTGATCAATTTATTGATCTCTTAATGATGAAATTTGATAGGACGCATACTCATCGCGTAAATTTCGATGATTTCATTCAATTATGCGTTGTTTTACAAACGTTAACAGCAGCATTTCGTGACAAAGACACTGATCGTGATGGTATCATTACTATTGGATATGAAGAATACTTAACAATGGTATTCACTTCAAACATATGAATGTGAATGTGATCAGAAATGTTCACTAATTTGTTTATCATTCGCACACTTTCACTTAATAAATACACATCTTATCTAGAGTCGTTTAATTTTACTTCTATTTAATGAATAACGAGTTAGATAAATTAATTAATTAGTCAAATTTCTTTTGGGTTTTTTTTTTTTGGAATTTAAATTAGATTTGTTTTTTGATCACTCAGTTATATAGTTTGTTCATTATCTGATTTATCTAAACTGCTTAACTCATAGTCAGATATGAAGATTAGAAAGAAATCAAAGAAATCTTTCATCCTTCTTAAAATTAAGGTCCAGTTAATCTGCAAATAAATTTAAATTAATTTTGCGGAGTTATAATTTTGTGTATTATTAGGGCTTAATTTTTTATTTAAAGCGATGTTGCTTTTTGTGCGTTATCAGATTAAGTAATTGTCAGCACTTTAGTGTTTTTGCCGTAATTTTTTGGGCCTAGAATTTCTTTTAAATCTAATTCAGGAAACCTGAAAACATATCAATCAGTCCAAAAAAATGAAAGGGTATCGATTAGTGTGGAAATTTTGGAACAGAAAAAACTGATAACCATAAGTAAGCGCTATTGTCCGTGCACCATGAAATGACAAAATATCTTTTTATGTTATAAACAGTTAAGTGTTATAAACGATTATCCCCATAACAGATAAAATGCATTAAATGTAAGTTATGAATGAGCAATGAAACTTCCTAACTGAAAATAACAAAGAGTGTAGAAGGAATTATTTGACAACAATAAATATTAAAATATAAAAACTGATCAATTAAATTATCCGAAATCTCGTGTATTGTTTAACCTTTTTTTTTTCTGTTTTATTTTACTTTAACTTTACTACTTTTTAGATATTTGCATTCTTGTTTTTTTGTTTCTTGTATCACATTTCCTCTCACTTTTGTTTTAAAGCAATATTTGTGCAAACTATTATACACATTTTCTCCCTATGCTTGCATCACCTTTATGCATGATTTTCACATACGTAAATTGCAAGAAATATTTACATATAAATTGAAATAATATTCAATGTACATTTAGTGTTTTTTCTTTTTACTCTCCTATATTTAATGACAAGTGATTAGGCTAAAGATGGCTTAATGTTTAAGTAAATTGCGGTTCTCTTTCTTTGATTTCTCGATGATACAAAGTTGGGAGGTTTTTTTTTTTCTCATCGATGAACAGAGCCAATTCGAAGTGAATTTATACATATATGATTTAATTTTTTTACTTTATATTACTCATTTTCACAACTTCTAATTATACACAGATGTAGGGGAAAATGCTAAGTGCTTATTTCAGGCACTCATGGTTTTCCACATGGTCCAATAAAACAAATCTACTCTCCAAATCGCTTCGCTTATTTTATCCAAGTCAGCTGAGCTCAGTACAACAATTTATATGCCTGACACATTGTTACATCTTGTTTTCTCTTTCCTTTTTTGCTTGTTTGTTTGTTTTTTTTTTTCAAAGCTTATTTGCCTTAATGAAGGATAGTGATTTCGAAATAATTTTGGGGCATATGGAGAAGTTTAATTAGCTAGCATACCAGCAGCATTTCTATGCTTATAACTTCATTTATTTGTTTGATTACTCTGTTAGTGAAGAAATATTTGCCTAGTGCTGCATATGGTGTCGATTGTTACGTTTAAACAAGCTCTTTTACATTTACTTTTATGCTGTTATCATACCATTATCCCTCCTTACCATATGCCAAATTTACAACTCAGAGTAAAAAAAAAAGTTAAGAAATAAAATGGAACAACATCCGGAAGCACCAAGCTTATAAAAGACATTCGAAGGGGTATCAGAATTTCAGCTACTTTTCTAGAGCAAAATTTAGCAAGGATTAAATATTCCAAAATTTTCAGTGCTATTTAAATT